AAATTCTACAAAAATTATATTCAAGACATACAATATTTTTGAATGGAGAATTTTCTTTTTCAAAATAATTAACTTGTGCCTAGATTTTGAAGAAAGAAAAATTGTGATAGTACTCGATAACTGTTAAAAATCAATAGAACAATCAATAATTTCACGCGTTGAGGTCAGGTAACCAAATAAATTTCAGGCCTTTGACTTCTACGACGGCGTTTCGACATGCGGGGCTCGATAAGTATCATTTAAATTGAAAACCAACGTGTGCCGAGCCACTGTTTTGATGATCAACCTAGTTTGCTCTAATCTGTATTAAGAATCGTATTAAAAATTCTATTACCGCCGAATCTTCTATGCATTAGGCAGACCTCGAAGAGAAAAACAAATTTGGAAACATCATCCATGGACTTTAAACTCCGGGCGTTGAGAATATGGTCAAAGAAATCACATTGATTAAATCATTCCAGAAATTCGTGACGTGCATAAATGTCCTTCGCAGCTGGTGATCACACGTGCACGAATAACTTCGATAGAATTCTATATGAAAAAAGTTGGTTACAACATTAATTTCTTTACATATTGCGGCCTTTATGTGGAAGATTCTGGTGTAATAAAAAAGATAATCGAATTGATTACCACCTACCTCGGAAAAATATAAAAATACGGCGCATATTGTCTCCTCCCAAATTTTTTTCGGTTAAAGATCAACTGATTTACGCATACGTATCAGATAAATCATTATTATCAACAATCTTCCCACTTTACTTTTCTTCGTCATTTTTTCTCAAGTTTTTAGCTGTAAATAAAGGATGCAAGGAATTTTACGACACTCTCGCTCTCAGGTCGAACTGAAAATATCATGCACCGAATTACCAAATTTGGACGTATTCTCGAAGAGTGATCCGCAGGTAATATTATTTGTCAAAGACCAAAAAACAAACCAGTGGGAACCTACTCCTCATCGTACGGAGGTAGTGATGAATAATTTAAATCCAAAGTTTGTCGAAAACTTTGTTGTTGATTATATTTTCGAGGAATTGCAGCAATTCAGGTAATATATTTGGACTTTTTTTGCGAAATAAATGTTGTACAATGACTGATTGCTTTTTTTCATTTTAATTTTACGTAGATTCATAGTAGTGGATGTGGACGAGCCGAATAATCCGGACTGGAGAGCCCAGGATTTCATCGGACAATGCGATTGTGATCTAGGCTCAATCGGTAACGGATTTCTTTCCTTCACAACATATTTTAAACTTTTATCTCATCTTACGCATTTTATCGATAATTCGTAAATAGTGGGCAGCCCTGGAAAAAAAATCAAAAGAGGCTTGTATGATGAAAGAAATCCAAAGAAGAATCGTGGCTACATAATTATAACCGCTGAAGAATTAAACGATTCTAAAGGGATCGTAACGTAAGCAATGATTATTGTGCAACATGCCATATACTGCATTATGACTACGGTTCACATTATGATGTTTAATCATGTAGGCTTCAATTTCAAGCTCATAATGCGGGAACGAAGGTATTTTTCTATAATCTGCTCTTAGTTTTTCCTTGTCGATGGAATTTTAATGTTTATGCGCAATTCTCCGCCAATTGTTTGAAATTCCAAGGGATTCTTTAAAGCAAACCCAAATTTATTTTTTACGATAAGTCGAGCGAATGAAGATAATACATATTTGCCCGTATACGAGTCCACAGAAATTTCGTCCATCAATCCGTTGTGGCCGGAATTCAAGAGTACGCTTTAATTCATTATGGTCTGGCAATAGAAATAAATACCTATTCATCTTAACTTTGCCTCGCTTATTCAACATAGTCAAAGAATCAACACTATGCAACGGTGATAAGGATAGATCGCTATTGTTTCAAGTGAAAAATCGTAAAAAGAGTGGTGGTAAGTTTGACGATTGTCGATTCACGCTCTCTGAAATCTTTTAAGAATTTTGATTTCAATAAATTCACATTCATTCATTCCCAAGATCACCCGATACACGGTCAATGTATTATGTCCCTCCGTGAAATAATCTCTGGTGATCGAATATTTCCCATCAACCCTGCACCCGAATCCTCTGTAAAAATCGGCAGGAATGCCTCTCTGAGTATCTTACAAGCTCACATAAAAGAGCAACCCACGTTCCTGGATTACATTTCGGGCGGCGCTGAAATACAATTGTCAGTTGCCATAGATTTTACGGCGTCAAATGGTAATCCGCATGATCCGAGGAGCTTGCATTATATCAACGGCTTTAGACAGAACGATTACCAGAGGGCGATTAGCAGTGTAGGCAAAATGTAAGTTGCGATTTTTTTTTTTTTTTTTTTTTTTTTTGATCAGAAAATATGATTTATGTTAATTAACTTCTGAAATTATAGATTGGAAAGTTACGATAGTGACAAACTTTTTCCGGTAAATGCATTACCATTTTACGCACTGCCTTTTAAATGATATTTTTGTGCTAATAATTGTCGCATTATATGAATTCTTTAGGTGTACGGATTTGGTGGAAAGTTTAATGGAAATTTGTCACATGCACACCCATTAAATAACAATTACCGAAATGTATGTCTTCTGTTTGCACAAAAATATTATCATTTATTCGTTATTTGGGTTTAATTTTCACATCCATCACTTGTTTTTAATTAGCCTGAAGTTACAGGAGTGGATGGTATATTAGGTGCATATTTCGAAACCATGAAAACTGTCGAATTGCACGGACCCACAAATTTCTCACCAGTATGAAAAAAAAAAAAAAATTCTTTTTTCTCTCTTACCCCGCGTTATTAATTTCATCAGCTAACGTCATTCTTTCCTGTAAAAATAAGATAATAAATCAAACCGCCGAGAAAATTGAGTCCAGACTAGCATCTGGGAATGATGATGTATATTATATCTTGCTAATAATCACAGGTAAATTATCACTCTTGATAAATACTTGGTTTTCAATTTCCCTTGCAATGTCGGCTTATCTAAAGTCCTTTTTTTCCTGAACTATATGATAAATGTAGATGGTGTGATAACAGGTAATTTACCGCATTTTCAATTTAGCACCTTTCTTCATGTCAATCAGTATTTATATCCATTTTTTCTTACACTGTAAAACAGATATGGATTCAACCATAAGGGCAATAATAAAGGCGAGTTTGCTACCGCTGTCGATAGTTATTGTTGGTGTGGGAAACGCGGATTTCACCAACATGAAGATATTGGACGCTGATAATGAACCGTTGGTCGTAAGTGGCGAAAAGAAAATTTTAGTTTGTATGCGTCGTAGCATTTTAAAATATTCCATCAGATGTTGACCTTTTTTCTCAAAATAGCAAAAACTATCACCTTATTCAGAACCCGTCAAAATGAAACGAGATATTGTACAATTTGTGGCAATGCGAGATTTCGAGTTAAGATCTTCGCATTATTTATTGCCCAAAGCTGTGCTCGAGGAAATACCTGATCAATTTATGAGTTACATGGAGCTTCACGGGAAAACTCCCCGGCCGCCCATCAGACGGACTACCGCAGAGCTGGAAAAGAATAAGAATTTAAGGACCGTAAATAGGGGCGATGCAGAGGACCTCGAATTTGATGAGCCGCCACCAGAATACAGCGCCTAATACGTACAGTATATTATCATTATCCATAGGCGATTATCGGACTTTACGTATTTTAGTTTTTAGTATTATTCATCTTCTTGTCAATTGATATTTTTTTATTTATTCCTGTATTTATTTATTACATTCTGTTTGTATATTCTTTTATTGGTTCTTCCTAATTTTTTTTTCTTTTGTCTATATTTCCGTTCACCACAACTTGTCTCTTTCGTCTGCTGTAAGTGACGTTCGAGCACTTTCACACTGCCCCGCATGTGGCAATGCCAAATAGCTACCATAAATATAACATTTGAAAAATGCCACAAGGATTATTTAAATACTGGCATTGTTGATAAATAAATCATTCACGCCATTCTTAGTAACAATGAATTTTCACTAGACGTACGGTGGATTCATCTCGATGACGCGATTAATAAAATTGTATTTTAGGTTACGACTAGTAACACATAGATATTTGTGCTATTTAGCGGGATAAATTTCAAGGATATAATTTACATGTATGGTCATTATAAGATTTGAACAGTATACGTATTACACAATAACATTCAATCGAGAACGTTTGATCGACATGTGATGCATTAAAAATTTAGAATGTTACGTGATTGATTATAATGGTCACATCAACCATAAACTGACCACTTTATACGGCAATTATTAAAGCTGAGCGGCTTGTTTAATAATCATAGATGCCGGTGTCAATATCATTCATCATCCAATTGTTCAAATAATCAATTACAAAAAAAAAAAAAAAAAAAAAAAAAAAAAAAAAAAAAAAAATTAAAATTCAGATCATTAAATATCCATTCCCCATTAATTATAAATAATTTATTGACGTTCGTTGTCTACAAAGTGGATTAAATATTTCTATATTGAAACACCTTGTCGTCGACAAATTAATCCCTCGCTTCCGCCTATCAAATATCCAAAATTATGATTAAAAGAAGGGTGGAACATTAATTTAGAAGGGCGCGTAACCATCGGGTGGAATTCTAATGTGTTTCCATTTACTCTCATATTTCTCCCAAATATCCCATTCAGAGTCTCTAAACAGCTCGACCCTCATGTCTAACGCCTTTTCGTAATCTTTGACGGTGTCGTTATTTAACCCAACTTCACCTATGTATTTATTCAATGCTTTAATCGCATTACCGAATCGCTTCGCTCTTCGTTCACGCGTAATGTAGACCAAAAGACTTTTGAAATCCGATGTTGGCGGAGTAGAATCTAACCATTGAGCAAGAACTTTCCAGGTTTTCTCAAATTCCACGGCAAATTCATTGACCGATTCGGAATCGGAGGTGACATCAGCGAGGACCGCCAATGCCTGAGCTTTTGCTCTATAAGCCAACACAACGGCCTTCTTCTTTTCCTCATTCTCCTTTTTCTTCTTGTCAGCGGCCTCATTGGCGGCGGTGTCATGCTTGACTCCGTAGTATTGGGCTAATGCCGTCAGATCAATATTTTTCAACAATTCATCGGCGGCTTCGCAAATACTGCTGGCAGCTTCTGGCGTGATCTCGCCACCCTTACTTGAAACATCCTTCTTACTATCCGATCCCAAGAGCATCTCTAATTTCGTTGTGAACAACGGTAAGTGATCCAGATGGTTATTCTCCAACTCCTCAAGTATATTGGCGCGAGCTTTGGAATCTGCAGGGAATTTCTTCAGGTGTGATATCTGCAGGTCCCTAATCGCTTCTGCAAGTTCGTCGGCCAATTTCTCTTCTTTCGTTTTTTCCGATTTTCCGTCCAACTCACCTTTGACGGCGCCCTCCTTTTCGCCGTCTCCATTTGGAAGGGCGGGGTCTTTAGGCTTTATGGGGGCCGGTGGGATCACCAAGTTCGCGCCATACTGGCCGCCATCTACTCTTATGACATTCACAATGTTCAATTTCCCAATCAACAGGTCTCCAGGCGAACCATCTTTGGGATAAACAGAGTAATCATTTGGTGAACCAATAAAGAATGCATGCCTTTCCCCCTTCTCCAAGAAGCTCTTTCCAAATGTTGATTTTTTGCATGTTAAAACATCGGACACCTGTCCAAAAATCTCCAGGCTGACCTTTTTGGAGATACTGTAATCCAAAAAGCAGGTGACGTTGCTCAATTTCTCCAAAAGTTCTTGCGAATGGTGACGAACTTGAGCTAGAATGACGTAGTCCCCCTTTACCTCTAACTTGAAGGTCTTCGCGTAAATATCCATGTATCCTACGACCCTTTTGTTTTTGTCATACACTGATGGCAATTCGAATGCATGCGGTATACATGAGAAAATTTGAAAAATCCAATGTTCATATGACACGGGTGATACTCACATATTGCAAAGAAATCTTCGAAATACGAATCATACAATAATCCAAAGAAAGCGGGAAATCTTGGGGTAATATTCGTGTTCTTTTCAGTTGTACTGAACTTGTAAGTAAGGGTAAGGCCGTAGATTCTTCTTGAACCCGGGAGGACATCACGATCCAAACCAAGAGGTTTCAAGGATGACTCCGTTGGTCGAATAGATTTTCGAAGGGTATCTGCGATGCAGATATACACATACGCATTACATGGATCAGTGCAAATCGTAAGTTCCCCCTTAAAATGTACGCGCTTTTGTGACACCAGAACTTGCACAATCAACAAAGCAATAATTACCAAATTGTATTGAAGGAGAAATATCATCCTCCCTTCGGATGGGGGCAATAATATCCAGGCGAGTGAAGGAATCACCGCCGTTGATGTAAATGGCGTCATCTCCGCTGGTTGCATTGTTGGCAATTTGAATTCCATGAAACACAAATTCCAACGAAACATTATGATCTCCGGGGCTAGACCAAAATTGCGCGAAACAGATCTACGAGGATGACACGTGATTAATTAATGACGTTAAACGGTGTGAAACTTGGGTTAGGCGATAGGTACCTCGATTGTGACACCACCACACACGGAAAATCGCTTTCTCTCCACTTGCTCTTCGCCATTGCCATCTCCATAACTTCCCTTTGCTAGAACAAAGAAATACTCGTGTTCCTCGCTCGTAAAACGCTTCTGCGGTAGCAGTTGAATCATGTGCAGCCAAAAACGTGCAGGCGAAGCAATCAGACGAGATGAAAATTTGATGGTGACATCTAAAAAAAAGAAGAAAGGATGGAATGAATGCTCGGATTGGTTGATTTCAAATGGAATACACGGGCACCAAATCTATACCTGCATAGGTAGCACCATCCGGAACTTTAAGGAATTTTCGCTCAATATGCCCAGGCCCAAATGCCCAGTTATCATAAGTTATCTTTGATCCATTATTCATGACGCTCGGTTTCGTTACGGTCACGGGTAACTTGAACAAGGGACCTCGCTCTGGACATGTTGTGTCGTAGCCCTGAAAAGAAAATTCCGAATTACAGCAACGGAAATGAATGGAAACAAAATGACAGCGCTCAAAGAAAGACGCCGACCTGAACTTCCGCAAAATGAAGTTGACCGGGTGTCAATTTTGACGGATCAACTTGGACCTCAAATACCCTGCCTGCGAAATCATTTTATAATGAAATAAATAACTTGTGACCACATCGACATCACTTTTCATCTCGAGATAAAATTCGAGAGTACCTTGACTTCCCAACAATAAGAAATCCGGAGCACGGACCCAAGGTTGAGTACTGATCAATGCCAACCTACTTTCAAATTCAAATTTCTTTGGATTGTTTTCGCCAGACGTTGGCTCAATTGCCCTCATGAACTTTGGCTTGATCGAGACACTGTATAATTGTGGACTTGTGGTTTCATAAAATTCTCTCAAGTAAATGCCACGTTTGCTCCTTGGCTTATCAGGAATTTTGACCTTTGGAAACAGTCGAGGTGACAACGAACATGCATAGATTAGTGGATACGATTGATTGATTCATGATGTAGGAAATGATGAGCAGTACTACATACCTCATAAACGACATCTTGATCAGGCCGGTCGTAAAACTTTTTAAGATACTCCCACGTCCTTTCAACTTGAATGAGACCCACACCGAAATTCTCATTGACCTGTTTCGCACTATTCACGAGAGCATTTTTGATCCTGTAAGGTGTGTACGTTTTGTCTTCAGCCTTGAGACCCGATAAGAGTAACGCAACGCATCCCGTGGCATTCGGTGATGACCTTTGGCATTTAACAAAAGAGGTATGAATAATTTATATGGTAAGAAACTCAAACACGAAAAACTCCGTAGCATCGAACACTTACATGGATGTTCCGTTCATCAATTGGGCTTTGGTCAACGAATACAGCGGAGTTGATGTGATGGCACTAACATGGATGAAATATTGTAATTTTTTTTTTTGCAATCTTTCACGACAGGACCTATGATTTCATCATTCATTCAGACATACATACCCGCCAGGTGCATAAATTGTGACGCCGATATCACCGTCAGTATTAGGACCCTGGGAACTCCATGTGTAGGCGCGTTCGGGGACAGATTCGAGAAGCGCGTATTCAGCTTGAATCATCGCGTGACTCACATAAGCCCCAACACCAATAACATCTATAGCATATCAATGTCACATTTGTGTTGATTAAAAAAAAAAAAAAAACGAAAGATTCCAGATTAAGCAGAAAAAAGCTCATGTCATACCACTGGAAGTGCCACCAGGAGATCCGGTCGTGCTCAGTGCGGGTCCATTATTCCCGGCACTGCTCAAAAAGATACAACCGTATTTGCCGATAACTTCATCACGAATCAACCGGATAAAATGACCGCTATCTGGCACAGCGGTTGCCTCACCATAACTCATGTTTGCCACGTCGGTTTTTGTTTCCACCAGTGCGATGGCGGCTCTCGCTAATGCGGCACCTGTCTCCATACTACCCAGACGATTGTCACCAATTTTTAGCGAGACGATCTGAAATCGTGAAATTACTATTTTAGTGTGCGTTGCACGTGAAAAAAAAAGAGTTGGATGCATGAAGAACAAGTGGACTCCGTACCTGTGCACCCGGAGCAATCTACGTCAAAAAGAAAAGGAAGAAAAAAAAAAAAAGACCGAGGAATCAGAAATTGAAATAATGAATGGACGCGCTCAACTTTTAAAAATTCCAAATACCCCGTTGAGCGCCGGCTCATCTGGATGATATGCGGCGGTAATGGCAGCGACGTGAGTTCCGTGAGAACCGGACGCGGTGACAATACTGATGTGTGAAGAGAGGGTTGTTTGTAAATAGAAAAGTTAATCAAATAAGTGGGCATTGTCTGCAAACGACCGCGCATACCATACGGTATTTCCATCGTCATATATATTGACCGAAAAATTCAGCAAGTCTTCTTGGCTGAAGGTATGGAACTGCCTTTCCTTGCGATAGTCGGTTAAGAGCGGTTGTTCTGTGAATCAAACAAGGTTATTGTTCAATGAACCAACCGCCACCCTTGATCACAAGAATCCGTAACAAACGGACAGGAGGATTAATTACCTCTCAGGTCACCGGACTCGTCGACATCAACCACCACCCTCCAATCGGTTCCATCAAAAAATGTCACAACGTCTAAAATTATACCGGGGTCATCATAGCCTTTCAATGAATCCTTAAGTACCTCTACCCTCGCTTCAAGGTCGGCCTTGATTTCAACATCGGCTTCTGATAAGGATGAAGACGGTGGATGGGCTTCTTGCCAGGCTGCAAGTTTCTGTTGCGCATCCGCCTGAAAAAGATAATGCTGCTTCTCGAATTGTTGCCGACGTTCCTACGAAGAATAATATTTTTCATCAAATCATTTTACAATATCGGCAATGGCGATTCACGGATTCACGAGAAATCCTGAACGGAGACCGACCTTTTGCAACCTCGAGACCAGAGGCCTAGGAAACAGCTCGTATGCTCTCTTAATACCAACGCGAAATTCCCCTGACGTATTGTTCCACTTGGGATCGATTATAAGGGAACGGCCCGATAAGCCCCGAATCGTATGCACGGCCTCACCTCCTTCACCTGAAACAGTGGGTTTCACGACCGTCTTTGTGATCACGTCGCCTTAAAAACAATGGAACGATTGTGAGGTAAAATTCGACAACAACAGTCACGGTCGGTTTACAAGGATAAAATAATCACCGGAGCCAGTGCAATCGATGATGTCGATGATCTTTGGCTTTCCTTCGGTTGTGGTCTGGGAATAGAGAGTACGAGTGGTGCGATCAAGTTATTGAAAGGAAAAAAAGTGAAGGAAAAAAAAAAAAAAACGAGGAATACCTGTAAACCAACGGCACCGGGATCTATTCCAGTGTCCAATATGGCAATAACCACACCACGACCGTCATATTCGGGATATTTTTTCAAAAAGGTCGCAGCTTCGGTTTCCTTGGATTGAAATCAAATTCAATGAAAGCGTGAGAGCCCATTCGCCAAATTCAGATGACGACGCAAACCTGTCAAACAGCGCAATCATAAAATCCCTACCTCCTTCGGGAGTAATCCATATGTAGGAAAATCAGGTATTGGTTTAGAGGTCTTGATTGTCATTTGAGTATTATATCCTTCGTCAATCTCTACTTCGAGAATCATTTTTATTTTTATTTTGGTTTTTGGTTTTTTTCGAAATTCGAAATATATATATTTCAATTCGTCAGGGAATTAAAAAAGAGAAAACAGACAAGGCTGTGCTGATCAATTATGTGACGAAAGCGAAAGGCGCACGCGCCTGTCTTGGCGTGAACTTGACAAACTTGGACCTACCTTTCCTGATCAATGAAATATCCGAACCGAAATTTGTTCGAAAGAGCGAGTGATGGGTTATGGTAGGTTAAACTTTGATAAATAATTTGCTCGGGGGAGAATCAATGAATTTTTCCAACTTCAATTCGCCAAAGTCGGCCGCGATGAACGGAAGGAAAAACCAATCGGAAACTTACTACTCGGTGAAGCAATCAGTTCTTCTTGAACAACCATTAAAAAGTTGATTTTCGAGATTAGTCAATTGAAAAAAAAAAAAAAAAACTTTTTTTTAAATGCGTGAATGAGAATAAAATTGTATCAATGAAACCCAACGAATGTTACCCAATCCATTAATTTCGTCAACCACCGCCAAAATAACTTCTGATGCTCGAAAAAATCTAACAATCATAAAAGTTTATTCCGCTACGTACTGTATGTCACCCACGATAACAAACTGATGAAATTAATTACCGAATTTATCGTGGATGAAAAAAAAAATAAAAAAAAATTTTTTTTTGGTTTTTTTTTTCCTTCGAATTTTATCTCGTTAAAATATATTTGGGGCCCGGCGTTAACGAGAGAGCGAGTGAAACTTTATGAACGGGGCATCACCGCCTTATATACTTGATCAAAGAGATGGATTCACGCAGCAAAGTGCGTAATCTGTGTTGCGTAATAAGTAATGCACGTGCGCAATTGTGTGCGCACAAGATTTGCCCCATTGAGTTCCTAATTCAGCACGCTTCTGGGCGGTACTACGTGAGAATACCTCTCGAAAGAATGACCGTGTCAACGAACGACTTGCGAGGAGCTTACGTGGACGGAGGAAAGGTTGAGTCGACTCAGTTGACGACCATTCGGTGGAAGAAGGCGGGAGGGCCGAGGTCCAATGCAAAATGGGAGATGCTACGATTCTTTCGCAAAGTAAAAGCATCCCTGGTCTCCGCATGCCAATGACCATCAATTATGTGTCAACAACTTTATGACCATCCATCATCATCGACTCACTCGAATATGTTGACCGAGAGAGGAAAAAAAAAAAAAAAAGATCCACCCTCGCATCAGGATCATTACGAACGTGGAGGTCCGGGAGACTTGCCATGATACGTGCAACTCCACGAATTCCCGGATCAAACACAATCACACACGCATATAGCTGTATCCCCCTTGCATCTTGTTTTTCGTTAAGCATAACCTTCAGATTTTTAACTTCAAGCGTACGTCGTATACAATGTTTATTTCTATTTTTAGGATGCCTCAATATAAAGTTTGCTTTATTTGGGATTGACAATTTACCAACGTGCATGACCTTCCCAACAATAACCTGGAAGAATTCTTTGCATGTGATCTGTTACTTGCATTATTATGGGATAACGATCGTATCGTACACCGTGTGCATAGTAATAATAATAATAATAATAATAATAATAAAAAGAGCAGGTTTCCTGTCAATGGGAGCACATTATCATTCACTCGTTCATTCATTCGTTCGTTCATTCAAAAAAAGAAATTTTTTATCATTCGCAAAAGGTTGAATTGTTTGGTTTTCTCGTCTTGCTACGCACAACACTGGTTCATGTCACTATAGAAATTGGCAATGGCTTGACAAGCGTTTGACAACAATCAATCAATAAATAAACAGCCGTGTTTGACAAGTATAAGAATTTCCTAATAAATACGAAAGTGACCGAAAATCTTTAAAAAATCGGAATTTTTAGAAGTGTCGAATGTTTATTTGTGGCACCCAAACATTTTAGGTTGCACGGAACGAAGACTCGGAACCAAGACCTTTGAGTTTCCCGTGAAAGGGCGGTTTGCCACCACCTAACCAAAAACGAACCTTGGCGGACGCAACAATACCAACTATTATGAAAAAAAAAAAAATAAAAAAAAGCTGCTGCTGCTGCGTATAATAGGCTGTAACAAAAGAGGACAGAAAAGAAAAGAAAAGAAAAGGAGGATGACCAAATTCAGCATTATTGTTGAAGATGATGTCGCACGTGAATTTTCCGATGAACCGTTAGGAAGATTCAACACGATCGACTCGTTCCACCGACTTACCGGGTGATTGTCGTGATCGAGGTCATGGTGGTGGTGGTGGTGGTCGCCTCTGGGGTGTGTGAGAACTTGACCTGGTTCGGTTTGGAAGGTCTCGAACTTCCAAAGGCAAATATGGTTGAGGACGATTTTGTTCCGGTAAGGAACCAGTTTAACTTTATTATAAAGATACGGGTGAAATTGATTGATTCGTGTGTTGTGTAAATTACACCATACGAACAATTCGGGCTAGAATCGGGCTTTGCTTTCTCACCTCACATTAACCGTCTGCTCTCTCCAACTGAGCCAAGCCCTAACGATACAATAATAATGGGAACCATGTGACAACCTCTGCTGGATGCATCGGAGCTGTGATTGGACGTTTCGTCTCTTACCCGAGTTGGGTTGAAGTAATGCAAAACAAATCTGCCTGTCGGTCTTTCTAAACATTGATAGGTGAATGAAAATAAGAAGTTTCATAAGCTGAATGTAATAAACTTGTTCAACGATGTTGACTTAAAATCTTTAGGTTGACCAATGACGGGGGGACAAAGGGACGGTGGATGATCTGTTGATAAACTTTTTGAAAATCGTTATTTCATTAGGGCATATAGGATTTCTAGCATTTTACAAGAATCTTGAAAAGTGTCTTATTACCGTGGGACTCTGGGATCGCAGTGGACGTTCATTAATAACAACAATAACAATCTCAATCGCAATCACATAAAATACCCTTTCAGAAAAAATCGGAGTAGGAATCTTCTTCGCTCAGAGATATAAAGAGATATTGTGAGAAATTACGTAAAGTGAATCAAAATCCACTGGTCGACTGGCTGTAAACTATGTGTGCGTTAATAACAATAAATAGCAACCTGCACGTAAACGGTTAAGCGGATAGTTTCACAGATCACAATGCAGTAATGCCCCACATGGGCATTACCTCAAAGCCCCCCAAGCGTTGTAGCTCTGCAAAAGCATAAGTATAATTGCCTGTTAGGCGACGCTTCCGATTGTGTTACTTATTGGTGTAACCCTTGTGTCAAATATAAATTTTAAGGATTTTCAGGCACTGCTTACAAAACTTCAAGTTTTTCTTACGAAAAATTTATTTGACCGCAGGAAATTTTTAAAGAGTTTTTTCTTCATCACCACTTGGTCCTCTTTCTTACTTCCCCTCATCGATAACGCAGAAAACAAACTATTTTTATTATCCTTTGTTTTTACCTTCGCCCGTTGGTTTCTCTCTATCACCTTTTCTTTTTCTTTTCTCTTTTTTTTTTTTTTCTCCTCTTGTTTTCATTTTTCTGTTTCCTTATTAAATGTCTGAACATAAGTGGGGCAGTGGAGAAAGGTCGCTATCATCAAATCCTTCGGTGTTCAATGATTTACTGTTAAACTGGTGTTCTACCACAACCTCCACAAACATGTCACATCAAGCGTGGGCCATCGCCGACTTACCTCACCGTCATTGGAAACTGAAATATCTACCTGACGAATTCCGCTCCGAGGACATAAAAGACGAGAACCATCCATACCACAGTCTGCTACAAACCTTCGACCAAATAAGAGACCTCCAATTCACCACCGACGACATTCCGGCTTTGGCTTGTCTGGAACCAAAACTACAGCAGATCGGCAAGATCATCGATAAATTGATCGACCTTCCAGGACCTCATGCCAAAGGAATCTTTGACTTCACGGCACTGTCGGCGTACGTGCACACCATAAACGATCTGTGGTCGAAGAGGAACCAAATGTATTTGACACCGATATGGCGACAACCTTTGGAGTACAGGCATCCCTATCAGCACTACACCGAGAGTCTCGTCTATGATCCAATATTGCTCTCACAACTTTCACAGATTAGTTTAATATTGGATTGGTGGCTGGGAAAACCACAATTCGACTTCTGGATCGGCATTATCGACTTGAACTTTGACAATTTTACAACACAACTGGAGGCTTATGTTCATTGGTGTACGTTGTCAATTGTTATGTTATGAAATGTAATATTTATTTTATTGATCAAAAGAAAAAAAAAGAAAGAAAAAAAAAAAAAACTTTTTTTTTTTTTTTTTTTTTACGATTTCTTTTGCACAATCCGGATTTTCGTTAATATTATCTTACAAGGTCTCACTAACTTACAAATTTGTACTTTTGTTTATCAAATATTTATATTTTTAATCGAATTCGACAACAGACAACGCGGTATTCTTCCCGGCAATCAAAGAATCCCCAAAGAATAGCAGCAAAACTAATGAAAAGATAGGATCCGACGACAAGAAGGGCGAAGAGACTGACAGCCGGAAAGGGGAGAGCGATAGCGAAAGCGATAGTGAAGAAGAAATTGACGTCGTAGGAATCGACAAGGAATGCGAACAGGATAAAAGTCAAACCAACAACACCAAAAGGATATATAGGCTTAAGATGAGCGACGATGATTCTAGTGAATGTGACTGGAGTAGCTCATCGGACTCTTAAAAAAAAAAAAAAACAATCACACAATCACAAAAAAAAAAAAAATCAAAAAATATTTCGAGATGGTGAAGACTCCTGCATCTATTGAATTTCTGACATATGACAACAACAACAACAACAACAACACAACAAAAAAAAAATTTTTTCTACTATATTTGCGCGATCAAATCGGGAAAATTTTGTACATGCACGTAATATCACGTGTTGTCTTTCTTATTCTTAATATGTATAGGATTTGCTAAGAATTAGGGTGACAACAATTTTTTTTAATCATCTTCAACCTAACTTAATATAGTACACGAAAAGTTCGTGTATACTATATTGGTGGTTGAATATGAAAGCTTTAAGAGAAATAGTATAGTAGTAAACAAAAAAGTATTATTATTATTTTGTAATAAAAACAACTTCAACTATACCAAAAAATTTTCTGTATGGTGTAAAATTTCATTAAAACGATCACTATCTCAAATTCTGTGAAAATCCGGAAAAAGAGATGCACTATACCGATGATTTCTAGATGAAAGTCGAGGGGCTAGTATCAAAGATTTTTTGGTAATAATACGCACTCATTTTGTGCCGCCGGTTTTTTTTTTTTTTTTTTTTTTTTTTTTTTTTTTTTTTTTTTTTTTTTTTTTGGTTAAAAAAAAAAAAAAACTCTGGAGTTTTTTCAATATGTTTTAACTTTTTTTTTTTTTTACATAATCCATTAATCAAGATTATATTTATAAGATAATAGATGGTATGATATGATAATACGCACTTCGCGAACATCATTTCCAAATCGGTTGCATTTCACTTCTGCATTAGCAAATGCTCGCTATGCGTATTCTTGCTGAATTCAGGTTAAGGTTAGAACCCGCCTACCGTATAGTCCATAATCGATATGACTATTGCTATCCCTGTGCAGTCTTGTTAATTTAATTAACGAACTTCTTCATGACAACGTTCCTCCCCGAGATTTGGAGGGAAATTCAATTGGAGGTGAGCAAAAAAAAAAAACGAAAAAAAAAAAAATGAAAATGAGAATGAGAATGAAAATGAAAATCTTTAATTAATCCATAATATTATCTTAATACACAAAAAAAAAAAAAAAAAAAAGAAACCGGTACATATTGATTTTTAAACTTTATTATGCATGTGCAAGTGTCCAGTAAAACGAGTCAAACATCATTATGCAATAATTAGAGTTTAACACCGGCAAACCATGTACCACATGCATATGCGAGACTCCAAAGATATTTTTTACGTGCAGTCATTTTTTTTTGAAGAGGGGTGTTTGCCTCTCTGGGACAAAAAAACGATCATTCAAGAATCTACGTTCGCACAATAATAAAGAACACGTAAACAGAAATAAACAGCACAGCACATCAGAATGAAAAAAAAAAAAAAAAATCTTGTGCGTGTACGCACACGTACGTACGCATACACATTAGAAAACAGGAAAAGAAAAACGCCACATCTTGTGGAGTAAGAATTTTTATGGATTTTTGGCTTTGCTGTGTTTTACGATGGATTAAATTTTATTTCAATTCGGGATGTTGGGAATTCCGAATACATACATTACTACTACTTTGTGAAAGTCTTGCAGGGATTTGGCATTATTGGTCGGTTGTCTTTTTGGAATTTTGTAAACACTAAACATTTGAATGGCATAAGACAATAGCTCATCGTGTGCATATGAAACGAACTCAAAGAATGAACGAGGATTAGCTTCTTTTTTTCTTCGCCTTTGTGACATGTCTTAATTATTTACGACCACGAAAACATTCTCCCGAATAAGATCAACGCATCGGACGTACGACTAATATGATCCTGCATTATGTTACATTCCTGAAACTCATTCCTTTCGTCTTAAAATTATTCGGTCTCTTCTCAAAGTACTTTGACTGCTGCCTTAATTGTCAATATTATACACCATAGAACTTCTACTTTCATAATATATTTTCGTTCCGGTTGTGGACCCTGGACATCAAAGATTTAGGATGATGATAATAGTAAAAAAAAAAAAAAAAAAAAAAAAAAATTTTTTTTAAAGGTGCGTGGAATTCATCAAAATTTTCCGAGTGGTTATGTTATGTATTTAATATGAGCAAATATGAGCAGGTAATTCAACATAAAAATGGTGATTTCAGGAACACAAACCGGTAATAATGGTAACTCATAACGCCAGGTTTTTGACTGGCGTCGTAAAAAAAAAAAAAAATGATGAAATGAAAAAAAAAAAACGAAAAAAAAAAAAACCAGGAAAAAAAAAAAATGCGATCCGCTATAGTGTAAAAGGAACCTTTCCTGTTGCTCTACCTGTATGCTAGTTGTTCTAAATTCCAAAATTGTCAAGCACCATTACGTAATTAGCGAGAGTAATAGAATACAATTTTCCTTTTCCTTTTTTTTTTTTTTTTTTTTCGTTAATTAATAAAACATAATGTGGTGGAACATAGTATAACCGTTTGCCCTAACCCGAATTTAGAAATGACCATTAGTGAACATATTGTGAATTCGAGGTGGTAGAGGTACGCGCCAAAACTTTTTGATAGTAATCCGGGATCGGGTACGTGCATAGTCAGAGTACTTACGTAAGTACGTACCATGAAAGAATTTTCGGAAGAATAAAAAGTATGTTTATACAAATTAACCCCAGAAGCCACAGTCGAACCTTTCACATTTGTTTCATGAGCGATCTTCGAGCATTTAACTTGCGAAGTAAATTTGATAATCGTTACCTTGTGCCAGCGAGAAATGATTCAATTTAGTCTCGACCAAAAAAAAAATTTTTTTTGCCCAAAAATATTAAAATATTTCAAACGGACTATTAATTATTATTTAATATACCGCACCACAGGTCGATGATTCGATTCTTGGATACGTAGAGATCAATTTATTTTTCTAATGTATTAACGTATCACTCCATCTAATATGGCAACTGATGTTCGATTATATAAAAATACTAGTGTTTTTTTTTTTTTTTTTTTTTTTTTTTTTTTTTTTTTTTTTTTTTTTAAAATCATTTTTTTTATTTTTTTATTTTTTTTTTTATTTTAAATATTTTTTATATTTATTTTTTTTATATATTTTTTTGGTTTTTTATTTTTT